TCAAAATGGGGAAAGACTAATTAAGACCGTAAGTAAAGAAAAATTTATTATAATGATTGATTGTATATTGTTTAACGTCCCTCTCGAGAATTTTTCACTCATATGGAGACGCCACCATTTGCCGGTGGAGAGCTGCAAATTTTGTCCTATACTCGGCACTCAGGACTATTGAGCAGGGAGGGATCTTTTTCGTGTCAGCACCTACTGCGACACGGGACCTCGGTTTATACGGTCTCATCCAAAGGACCAGTCTCTACGTCCCACAGTGAGATTCGAACCCGCGACGTAAGGATTAACTCCTTCCTTCGTGACTCTAGAGCAGACGCTCTAACCAATACGCCACGCGGGCGGCTATATTATAATGAAAAAAAAAATGTTTGTGTACAGGATATAATATATATAATTCTTCCTCCAATCAACCTAACCTTAGAAAAATACCCAAGAATTAAATAATACAAAAGATGAAGAATTAATACAAAAGATGAATAATATTTAAAAATATATGTCAAATCATTTAGACACGACGAAGGAAAAATAAAAATATACGTTCGTTTGACTTGGTTCGTTGGTTGGGGTGATTTTTTCCGTGAAAAGCATATGTTCGTTGGTTGGAGGTAAAAAGTATACGTTCGTTGTACATATATAATCTCCCCACCGACAGCGTTCATATAATTAATGTATGAGTTGTCTCTCTTGTGTCGTGCGGATAAGAACTGTTATTAGCAGGACCGTCGTGCGGATAACGAAATTTATCGACACCAACGTCGTCCCGATAGACACTTCCTTTGAATGTGCGAAGAATTAAGAAAGAGGAATTCATTAGATTTTATCCTACATTACATTACGGCAAACGGATCCTGTGCGAACAAGTATCAGGGCGAGCAGACCATTTCAAGGTCAAAGGAACATTGACCCAACGAGATCGCCTTGTTTAAGTTTAAGAACGACTTAGCTAGTATTTGTTAGGAAAGATATGATTCGATTGTACTTAAATTATTCGATTATCATATATTTAGTTAAACGCAAAAATGTTTATAGCTCTACTGGTTAAACGCCAGAAGAGCTTATGGAGTACCAAAGTGTTCGTCCGACTGTTTACAATTTTTAGAAATTTATGACACGCATCAGTCTTAATATATCAGTCTCGGTGTCCCTTTCTTCTACAACCCCATCACAGTCGATATTCATTGACCACTAATAAGGCCTGTTTCTTCGCCAAGCGCTCGGCACTAAAGTGATAGTCATGGGTCTTTCGGATATGACATTAAAAATGTAGGTCCCTCTGTCACGATAGGCGCTGGCACGATAAAGAACCCTCACTGCCCATTGGCCCCGAGTGCCAAGTCTAGAGCTAAATATGAAGCCCTTCACCGGCATCGGTGACGTCTACATATAGGTGATAAATTCTCCTGAGGGACCTTTAACACTAATCTATCTATCTTTCTTTTTAGGTCACCTGAGTAAACAGAAATTGTGAATTTCATGATCCCTGGGGCCCGAGGGGTGGGGCCAAAACCAATAAAATTAATGCAATCTTTAAAAATCTTCTTCTTTACTCCTGGACATCAAGTAGTCAAACTGTTTGCATGATTGTAATCAGCATTGAGTCCTCTACCAAAATCATGAAATTCATGGCCCCAGGGTCAGGGATTCTGGTGTTAGGGCGGGGCTCTATTTGATTAAATAGTGAAAATACATGAATTCTTTGAAAATCTTTTCTCTGCTCCTGGGTATTAAATAAACTTACTAAGTGCATAGTTATGATGAGCAAGATTGCCTCTACCAAAATTGTGAATTTTATGGCCCCAGTGTCAGGGGTTCTGGAGTTAGGGCGGGGCTCTATTGATTATATAATGAAAATACATGAATTCTATGACAATCATATTCTCTTCTGCAAGGTATTTAATAAACGTACTAAGTGCATAGTTATGATAAGCAAAAGTGCCTCTACCAAAATTGTGAATTTTAGGCGCGCGCGCGCGCGCGCGCGCGCGCGCGCGCGCGCGCGCGCGCGCGCGCGCGCGCGCGCGCGCGCGCGCGCGCGCGCGCGCGCGCGCGCGCGCGCGCGCGCGCGCGCGCGCGCGCGCGCGCGCGCGCGCGCGCGCGCGCGCGCGCGCGCGCGGGCCCCCCAGGGTCAGAGGTTCTGGTGTTAGGGCAGGGCTCTATTGATTATATAGTGAAAATACATTAAATCTTTGAAAAAAATTCTTCTTTGCTCCTGGGTATTAAGCAGATGAACTACCTAGTTATGATGAGCAAGAATGTCTCTTTAAAAATTATAAATTTTATGGCCCCAGGGTCAGGGATTCTGGTGTTAGGGCGGGGCTCTCCCTGAACGTCTAAAACTTATATACACAGTATAATTATCACACTCAATTAAGGGGCCCCTCTAAGGGGCACAGGTAGAGATTACCTGTGTTACCTGTGTTATCTTGAATTAACAGTCTAAATCAGATAAATTTATTTATTTTTCTGAAAAAGAATCCAATATGTACCAAACCATAATTTATTTGATTATATAACTATTATTCAAGATACCAAACAAGTGTTTTTCATAACAATATTTTTTTTAATTTTTTTTAGTACATTTCATTACAAGCACTATGACACAGTATATGAAAAGTGATAACAAGTTTATTATTTACAAAAATTTCATTTTTAAAATACATAAAACACTTTTAGCACTCTTCCTTAACATGACATTTTAAATACCATCTTTTATGCTTTACAATATTAATATTAAAATGGAAAACAGAGTAAATATAACCTCAGTTCTATAGATTAATAAGCACTTAATTTGTTCACATTTATTGGGTCTCATAAGCACAGGTTTTTCTTCATGATCACTATCCCAGGTGCAACAGCTCTGAAGCGGAGTCTGTGTAGGTCATGAGGTCGATTGTCCCGTTTTGGAGGCGTTCTCGCAGCAGGTGAAGTCTTCTCCCGATGGTTGCATATTTCTTGGCTGGTGGTCTGATGGTTCCGCCGACTTGTCTCTGTATCTGCTAGATTTCATTAGCATTCTGAATGTCTTTGAACAACTTGACGACTGTGAATATGTTGGGGTGAGCATATTGAACCATTCTCTTTATCTTGCTGTGCCATCCTTCCAGACTGTTGTTTGTTCTTGGTCCGTCCGTGCTAAAGTGGTTCCACAAAAGTCGGTCACCATTCACCCACTGCTCTGTCACATAGTCTGTAAAGTTCTGCGTCAGCTCTGTAAGGTCAGCTTCATCTCGGTCTTCCAGGGCTGTAAACCATACATCTTCTATGCAATCAAGAGGAACTAGAGGCAGGACAGCTGCTCTTTGAACCAATGTCTTGATGTCGTCATTCTCTTTGTATGGAATCTGTAGGCCAGTCTGTTGCGCTCTTCGCCATACCGCCTGTGTGAAGTGGAAGAAGCAGCCTTTTGTGTTGATTCCAGGAAACACTTGTCGAATGGAATTGTGGATAGCTGTCTCGAAGTCGGCTAGGGCACTGGTAGGACAAAACTGTAGTCCAAGGTCGTTGATTTTTTCTTGCAGGGTTGAGAAGAATCTGGTGTAGATCGCTTGACTCTTGCTGGGTAAGAGGGCATAAATAACTGGTGTCATCACATCGTCAATTCGCACATGGATGCTGAAGATTTGTGGGACAGGTGTAAAATGCACCATCACAGAAGAAGGTCTCAGATGCTGCAAGGTCTCTAAGGTTGTCGGTAGTAGCATATGTGATGATTCTGGTGTTGAGGAATGTGTCGTCTAGGAGTAGGAATTGTTGACCAGTCTCTGTCTCTGTCCATTTTCCTTCCCTTCCAGTCTGATGTCTGTAAGTGTCTTTGGGAGTGGGGGTGTCTGTTTCCGGCGAGCTCTGTACAGCGATGATTTTGCAGTGTTGAAGGTTGGCAAGTTCTCGATGACCTCTTTGCTGGTATCGTCCCACTGGGCATCTCGCAGGAAGTTGAGCTCTTCTGTAAAGATGGACGGGATGGGTCCAACTTCTTCTGCGCATCGCTTGGTGATGGAGTTCATGATTTGTTTGGCGACAACTTTGGCTTGGTCTGCAGGATGGGTATGCTGCTGTCTTCCGAATCCAACCGGGATGTTGTTCTCCGTTGATAAACTGGCTGTACATCCTGCAACGATGCATTTCCAGTAGAGCTTTGTCTCTGTTCTGCGAAGAATTCGGTAGATGTATCCATGAAGAGCTAAGCTGTGACCACCTTTTCTGTGATGTATGTAACGTTCAGCTGTGCATTTGCCATTGTTCTTGGTGTAGATGAAGACTGATGCTGTGGTGAATTTCAGTCTTGTATATATACCATTTGATAGCTTGTGTTTTTTTTTAAATTCACAGCTTGGAACATGGCTTGGACGAATTCAGTGTATCGCCAAACAAATCATAGAGGGGCCCCTTAATTGAATGTGATAATTATACTGTGTATATAAGATTTAGACGTTCGGGGAACACACCGGGGCTCTATTGATTATATAGTGCAAATACATTAAATCTTTGAAAATTTTCCAGAATTGTGAATTTCAAGGCCCCAGGGTCAGGGGTTCCATAGAGGAGAGGGGAGCTGTATGTATATACTGAAAACATAAAATATAATGAATTGTTTGAAACTTGCTCCTTGGTATTAATCAAATATTTTTGTAAAGCAAGAATGCCTGTACAAAAATTGTGCAATGTGTGGATCTAGGCCTAAGGGTCAGGGGTTCATGTGTGGTAAGGACACTACTGATTTTTGCTGAATATTACTGATTAGTTGAAATGCATTTTTTGTTCCCGTACCCTGCCTATGGGTATTAAGTAACCAAACTAAGCAACTGCTAAGTGTATAGTTATGATGACCAATGGACCGCCAGCTCTTTCAAAATTGTGAATGCCTTAGCATCTGGCTTAAGATATGAATCAAATTCAATCACTGGAAAGCTGTTGCATAATGCTCAGGTGACCTATAAGACCCATGGGCCTCTTGTTAAATATTTAAAATCTATGAAGAGTTTAACTTCCTCGTCAACAAGTCTAATTATGTTCCCCAAAGGAAGTTTGGGAACATATTGTTTTTACTTTTTCTGAATTTTTCTTTGTTCTCCGGTACTTTTTTTGTCCGCGAGTGTTCTCGTAAACCACTCATCCGATCTAGGTGAAACCTTTTTAGGGTCACTAGGTATGTTATGTAGATGTGCGGAACGAAGGTCATTTTGCGCGCACGTGCGTGCGTGTGCGCACACGTGTAACACGTGAAATGACCAATATAATAGATATAGCCGTAACTTTTTAAATTTTGGATGAAATGCTTTGAAACTCGTAATATAAGTATATATTAGTAGTAAAGACATAATGACATGGTCAAAATAGCAAAATCTCAGGCGCATGCACGTGCGCTTCGCTCCGATTGGCTGAAACTAAAAGTCTAAATATCTTTTTTGTTTCCTGACACAATCCTTTGAAATTTTGAACATAGCCATACATTATGAAGATCTACAGCATGATATATAAGAATAATTATGAACACACGCACATGCACGTGTGCTGCAATCTGATTGGCTAAAACTTTAAATGCCTACAACTTTCTTGGTTCTCAATAATACAGGGTGAAATTTCGAATATGAATAGATATAATGAATGCCTACATTATACTACTATCAAAAGTAAATGCAAGGGCGTGCATGCACATGCACCCGCACACAATGCATTAAACGACAGTATACTTGAGTTTGTGATGTTCATGCAGAATTAAGAACTTCTAAATGTCAAGACATGTAACATACTGAAGTATGCAGATGTTTTGACCCTTGACCTTGAAACTTAGGTCAAGGTCATCGGTAACCTGAATAAAATTTTGATATAAGCTAAATACCAAAATCACCTTGACCTATGAACTTGAAATCGACCTTAACCTTTGTCCTTGACCTAAGGGTAAAAAGAAATATGAAGTACATGTACATGTATCTAGAAACACCTTTCAGAGTTTATTTCTGTTGGCAGGATAGAAGTTAAAGAGGTGGTGAATTTAATGACCTTGACCTTTCATCCAAATGTCACAATCAATCTTAAGTTCTTGGAGTAATATACAAGATTCAACTCCAACGGTAAATAGGTTAACAATAAAAATACCCCCTCCCCCCGCAACAACCAAACAAATCAAATTAATGGCAACGTAGAGAATCGCTGTTAAACTCAAATAACACTTCGGACCCACATAAAATTTCAGGAAAACTGCAGAAAAGAGCTCGAGGAAAGTGTATTAAAATATTTGATTTGAGTTTCCAAAGTATATAGAAATTATTAATTTATACGGAAAAAATTACAAATCCTGTCGTGTTTAAAATTAAAGTGCAGATGAACAAAGTTGGTATATAAGCCTTTCATAGCCTATTTATTCAGATGTCGTTAATAGCATTCAATTCTACTGATTTGAAATAATATTTTAATACCAAGCATCCTTTGTTTATTTTACCTTTGAAATTTATTTGAATTTTTTTTTAGAATTACGCAATCCCCAGAAATAGCGATTTTCGGTATATTAAAAATCAATATACAGGTACGCTCCTTCGTAAAATAATCAGATATTTGCATTCATGAAAAAAATATTAATAAGAAGGTGTTGAACAATATTGGTCACATTAGCTGACACGAATGTCTTTTTAAACAACTCTTGTAAACCCCAGAAAGTAGCCCCCTATGCATTGGAAAAAATGAATAGTTCCGGTCAAAAAGGAAAGGAAAATCCCTTTTCCATGTATGGAACTACTATCGAATAAGTTCATTTTGATTGGTTAGCTATCGGCGTGATACCCTTAGTCGACTTTAACCCTTCCTTGTCGTCGGAATGAAACCAACTTTGAGCCCGAGGTTAAAATAAGTAGAGAAATAAAATGTGAATCGATATATTAAAAAATGCTATATGCTTGAAAAATGGTAACTTTATATATGTATTTTTCTCTTTGATTCGCGGGATAGAAAGATATGTTAATCGCTTAACCAACATGCCATAATCATCTTGCATATCTATGTACATATACGTGTGTGCGCATGCAAAACGTTAAACGATATATAGTTGATATCATTGTAACTTTAATATTCTTAAATGAAATCCTTGGATACTTAGCATATTTATAAAAGGTCTAAGAGGAATAAGGCACGAAAAGGGACATGGGGAGCGTTTGGGGAACATCTGTAACGGTCCCCGTTACAATTAGCACTAGTTTGCTAATAATTTTATAAAAGAGTACATGTAGTACCTGATGGTTAGCAATCCCTACCTACTCAACCAAATTCTTTAATAAATCTACAATGCTTGTAGATGGGCCATACAAAATAACAGAATGTGAAGAACCATTATTTATGCCAATTCCTAATGCTGTTGTAGCAACAATAACGCTCATTTCGCTATCTTCATCACTTTGTTCTTCTATTGTAAATATTTCTTCTTAAGAACTGTTGTTTCAGAATGAAATACTTCATTCTGATTTTTCTTGTCTAGTTTTGAGTACTTGTAAAGATGCACATAAGCAGCATCTGTAAAATGTTTACACATTAACAGCATCTGTAATATTTACAATGTATAAGAACTTTTGTCAAACTTTAAGTACTTAAATTACAGATTGATACTGATTGATTGATAGATTGTATACTGTTTAACGTTCCTCTCCAGAATATTTCACTGATATGGAGACGTCACCATTGCTGGTGAAGGGTTGCAAATTTAGGCCTATGCTCATCACTTACGGCCTATGAGCAGGGAGGGATTTTTATCGTACCACACCTACTATGACTCGGGGCCTCGGTTTATACGGCCTCATCCAAAGGATCGCCCCATTTAGTCGCCTTTTACGACAAGCAAGGGGTTAATGAGGACCTATTCTAACCCGTGGTCCCACTAATGAATACATGGGCGAGGCAATGTCATTGATTACCTTCTTAACACACAATTTTATGTTCGGTTTGTCCGGACATACTGATGTGACAGGATTCGGTTTTACCCATAAACCTAGGTACCACTCACGCCACCAATGTAACCGGAATTCGCTACATGGTTTCAATGCAATTAAGGAAATACCAAGATACCAGTGAAACGAAAATGACAGTATAAAAATACCTCTAAAATATAATTTATACCAGCTTCTTACTAATCAATAAACCTTTTGTATCTGAAATAGTCACGAAAGTAACTTACTAACCCAAGAATTTTAATAACAAGAGTATGCAAATTATGAAATTTTATTATAGCAACGATTGTATTTTATGAAAAGCACAAAAATTAATATTTACATTTATATATTTACAACGAAAACTGATGTACCAACGACCTTCCTAAATACATGTACTTATGTACCTCAATAAAAAAAGAAATAGTGCATACCTAACAGATGTACGAAGTCCAGAACCCGTCTTACCAAATGCTAGGTCCAAAAAGACCCAAACCCTGCACTACCCCAGGATGCTTTTACATAATTAAAATTATACTTCACCCAAGGATGCTTTGTACCAAGTTTGGTTATTGGCCCAGTGTTTCTTTAGAAGAAGTTGAAAATGTGCAACGTTAACAGTCGGATGGACGACGGTCAAGGGTGATTAGAAAAGTTTCCTTCAGCTTTCAGCTCAGATGAGCTAAAAAATGAATTGCAAAATCTTTCAACCTCAAAATCAACTCAGATACATGTACAATATTACATATTAAACACTGTTTGATCAGTCTCTGCGGCCTTCGATGTTCTTGTCGTGGTTATCGCGGTATAATGTGATTGGTATCCTCAGCGACAACAGAAGATGTAGACTTTGACACAGAATCCCTAGAAGTCGGAACACAAGTCGACTCGACGGTTGACGGTTTTTCTGACGGTTCAACTCGACTGTCAAATGATACACTAACAGGCAAATACTGGTAAACGAATTCCGTTTCACTGGTTCGGAGTTTTTCAACGCACTGAACATTCAATTCACGAATCTGGTCGATATGTCGTTTCCACTGCATACCTCTGACATTCACACGGTATGTGACAGATCCTAGTTTCAGTGAAATTAACCGGTCGATCCACGATACTTTTCCCCCACGGCAATCACATATCGTCTCTCTTTCACCAATGTGAAACGTTCGAGTCTTCTTACATGTAGCTCGCACAGATTTTCTCAGAATTCATGGTCAATTCCTAAACACTGTTATTTAGCCTTGAAATTTCTTTTATTTTTTTCTTTCATTTGTCTTGAAAACACTTCCTGCTCTTCACATTCATTTGAGATAGATACTGCAAGTTGTTCTCTCGTTGCCTGGAGAATACTTTTTTCTGTTGCCAGTAGTGTTTCTAGCTGCTCTTCTCTGAGTGTCGGGTTAATTTTTTCAAGTTGAATCTAGGTGGGTCCTCTCGTCTCTTAGTGTTTTGATTTTGTTTTCTAATGTATGGAACATTTCACTTTACGATTCTTAAGACTTTTCTTGTGCTTAGCTCTCTCCCAGATCTGACATGTCGTACAATGCCTCGAGGTTGCATTTCGCTTCTTCAACTTCACTTTTCGTACATAGAATGATCTTGTTAGCAATAAGTTCTGCTTCCTGTTTGAGGAGAGGGGCTTTTTCTGCCGCAAACTTGAGGCGAGCATTAGCTGAAGAGAGGGGTTCAGAGTGTTTCAGTACAGCTTCCCCTAGCTGATTTGTGCCTCCTGAGAGAGAAAGGACGATAACTTTAAACGCTGACCGAGACGCCCGGACATGATGATGAAGGCTTGTTCGCAACCTTTAAACCCTTGATAACACCACACACTTTGGTCTTTGTACAGTCCAGAACTGCTTTCCACATAGAATTCTCTTGAATACTGTTTGATGTTCTCAGGGTACTAAGGTAAGTTCAAAATTTGGTATTCAACTTCTCGAACTCGCTGCTGTTTTTGTCCAGTTATTTTATGATGCTGCTCACATCCCTAAGATGCACCGGATTTTTCTCGATGAACTCACAAATGTTGTCAATTTCATTTTGGCACTGCGATAGCCTCTTTGAATATGATGTAACGGTTTGAGTATATGGATCCGATCTAAATTCAGATAGCTCTCTGTCTTTCCGCAAGTCCGTTAGTCGTGGGACATCTCAGGATTTGTTTCTGTAGTAAATCCATGATCCATATTGAAGAGAGAGAGAGTGAAGAAAGCTGTGCCTAAGATTTCCACTGTAAGTGTTCACGACCCAACAAAATTTTACGGAAAAAACTACTGGTCTAACCCACAAACCTCTCTCACCGAGGGTGGAAACTGAAAAATACATCCGAGGACAACATTGTAAACACAATGTAATCTCACAAGAAGATAATCATACTATCGCTTAATATCAGATTATCAAATAATGACATTTAAGGCACGCCATACTCGGAACAAAATAACAAACGCACATGAAAACATGCATGAGCATCGCTAACAGCGTGAAAGCATTATGTATCAAATCAATCACAAGACAATAACAAATATACACAATGTACTTACTCTTTAGGGGCACAAACACCAAAATATAGATCGAAGTTTTGTATGACAAGTTTATCTTTTAAAAATATAGGTGAGCTAGCGCCGTATCATTTTTTAAACACAGAAAGGAAGATCCGTGATCAAGTGATTTATTTTGCTGAATTCCTTAATTTTTTATCAAGGCTGGAGAGTGATAAAGTTATTGTTCTGTGAGGCGTACTTTATAGACACAAAGGTTAAGAAATAAGGGGGTGTGACCTATTGGAGTGTAGGCGCAACGGAACATATATGACCTTTACTGGAGAGGGAGGGGGGGGGGGCTCTATATAATATGAAGAAGATGCCGATTGAGACATTGCATGTATGAGCTGATTTAAAGAAGAGAATTTCTTGGCAATGTAGCAAAGAAAATACAATTGATGGTAGTGTGAACAATGAGCTCTCTAAATGATACCCCCGGCTCCCATAATGTTAAAAACCACAGGTGTAGTATCTATTTATTTACATATCTACATATAATTTCAAATACACGCTGTAGGTCGGGGTGGGTCTCTGGCCCAGGCTAAGACTCACCAACTGTCGTGTAACACGTCTTTCTTTTCGGCCATCATCTGTAGAAAAGAGGCCCGTGCGACTGGCCCGCCATCTGACGTCACCTTGTCAGTAGGTCGTATTGCGGGACAGTCGCCCAGATACTACAATGTCCATGTATTACTATATATTGGTTTACGATAATGTGTAGAGGAATAAGTAATGGTTATAGGCCGAAAACTGTCCTTTGTGTCAGATATTAGACGACCCGAGGCCCGTTAGCGCCGAGGAGAGTCTAATATCTGACATAATGGTCAGTTTGAGGCTTACAACTTACTTAAAACATATCCCCACTATCGAACACTTCCATTGTTAGCTTACAGCCACAGATAAGGTCTCGTTCTGCTTGGATGACTACCTGTCACTGTTCATCAAGTTAGGCCAAAGAAAACCAGTTTTGGTTTTTCTTCTGTCTCTATTAATAGTAGGAATCTTCGAGAGGTGTTTTATATCGATAATTATGAACATTAACTTTGATTAGTCTTAATTATCCCCATTGCGACATTTTTTTTATCTATACTACGCATGCGTAAAAGTCAGTTCTACTAAATTTTTTACAATTTATTCATTTTACAACGCAACGACCACGAATGACGACGTACATTTGGATTTTGAAAAAAATACCTTCAGAATCGGGTGTTTTGACGATGCCATTTATGGATTACACCAAGATGCCTCAGTTTTTACTATGAAATCAGGATATATATTCTTATGTTTCGGAGTTTCCCGTTAACAGGTATTTTTTTGTAACGCAATAGTTTACTCCTACAACTGTTTAAGCATTTTCAATGAAATTGGGAGATTATTTCTGATGATTTTTTTAAAATGCAAGTTTCTCTTTTGTACGCAGGTTTCAAACTCGGGAGGAATTTACCCCAGCCACTCCTTAAAACAACGATAGATCCTCGCTCAAACGACACAGGACTAAGTGGACAAATGGTCATTAATCTGCGAACGAAATTACAGATTCCTTTGGAATTTCGTGAGCTAAATTTTGTGCTATTTGCAGAAAAATGGATATTTCAATAAACAAAAAACCCAAGGTTGTGTGTAAGAAAACGCATTCTTCTCATTCATCTTTTGTGTCCATTGGATTCTATGTTATTTTCCGTGAATCAAGCATTGTGAAATGAATATATTATATAACAATGAACGATGAATTTAGGAAATTTATGATCGAAGCCACGGATGCGTCTACAATAATGAATCCGAGACATTCTGTTCACTGGATTATTTGTGCCATTTTCAATAGGATTTTTTGTGAAATATTAACATTTAACGCTACTAATTTCCTACATTGTTCATATTAAATTGTTTGATTTGTCATTGCCTTTCAAGTGCTATTTACTTATTTGCCTCACCCTTTGTTCTCATTTTAACGTTACCTGTACCTGTCCAATAAGTTGAATCTTATTGAACACCTACAGGTAACTTATTGGACGGGGTGCAGGACAATTACAAATTTATTGAACCAGGTTTAACAAAATATGACGTCACAAAAATGTTTTAACTTGTCTTATCAAATGTTATTCAGAAGCCGCCATATGCACGCCGTTATAGGTAAGAATACAAAGGCAATCCCCATGTTTTGCTTTGGGAAACCTAAAATACGCATCGAATAAAAAAAAAGTAAAATAGGAGGTGCAAAATGGCAATATGTGATTAAGATTCTGTGAAAGTTTCATCCAATTTCACTCAGTAGTTTAAGAGGAGTTGCGGTTAAGAAATGGGTACCCCAAAGCGTAACAGACGGACGTACATAACGATAACTATATACCCTCCTACTTTTCAAGCGGTGGGTACAATAAATGTTCTGATGGTTATCTCAGAATAACTATAGTACAATTAAATTACTGTCTAATACCTGTTCTAATACTGGTTCGTGGTCTCGAAACATTCTTTCATCTTACAAAGGACCGAAAATAAGTGACGATGTTTCCTGAAAGAAAGAGGGCGTATAAGGCGTGTTCAATCCCCCGCTGTGAGACAAAATATTTCTCAATTTTCAAAATTCACAGAAATGTTATATTTTTCTAAAATCATGTTCTCAGTAATGTCATTTTCAAAACATTCTATCATTTTATTTTACTGAACGACTTATCATTTGATAATCTTTATTTCAAAGTTGACAGTTTATCATATTTAGTTAAAAATGGGTTTAATAGAGCTATAAAAAACGAATTTTGAACATGAATGGGTCAAGTCTCTATTCTTCGTGAACGCTTAAATGATGAAAATGTAAATGCAAAATCTATTTCATTTGTCCAAAAAATGGAATCTAAATCCATTCTATATGAAAATCGAACTTTTCTGAAAAATTTTACGCTTCAACAAACCCGTTCATTTAAATCACACTGACAGACATTCATAATGCGTGTACTTCGTAGCGTAGTGGTTAAAGCGGTTGGTCTTGAACCAAACCTGCGATAAGGAGAGAGTTCGAATCATACGTGAAGCTTTTTCCTTTTTTTTGTTATCAAATGTGAAAAAAGTGAAAAATAAATTATTAATAAATTATTTAAACAATGAAATACAGAATCTGATGTGAAAAAATTATAAAATTTTGAAAAAATACTACTTTTAGAATTGAGAAAATTCTTTTTTCAGAGCGGGGGATTGTCCTCCCCTTGTACGCCTCCATTCTTTATAAAGCCACGTCAACTTACCATGATCCGTTCTAAGTATGATTTTTTTCGGCAACCATAGTCTCGGTATCAGTGACTCTGAAATTCATCATCTGTCCTTCATCTCCACTTCTGCTGGTTGGGGCTAGCAGAGTAGCTCCCAACCTTTTTTATTGTTGGTTTAGCCCCCCCCCCTTCATTTTGCATTCGACACGCGTTCATGTATCATATACCGAGGGCCGTTCAAAAATTACGCGGACTGTGTTATTATTTACTCTTACAGACGTTATATAGTTATGAAACTTCACAGAAATATGTATCTTAAAGATTCCAATAAATTTTGGGCGAAATTTTTGTATTTAAAAAATTCTACGAAAATTATCGGTATGTTGATATCGCTGAAGAAAAAGGTACGGAGCAAGACAAAAAAATTGAAGCAAAAGCATGTGGAATCCAAAATTTACCTCATTATTTTCCGATAGTTCGCGATAATTTTCAACAATTTTCTCAAATGTTTCTTTAGATTGTTCTTTTATCATGTATTTAGATTTCTGACATGATATATTAACTACTAACAGAAATAAAGTTATTTTTTCCGATGCAATTCCCGTGAAAACGACTGTGAAAATGACGTCTCCTGAATTGACGGCGCACCACACTTTTGTTTAATTGCTTGTGATGCTCGAGATATCGCCAACATAGATCCAAAATATGCATAATGAAACATGTAGTATAGTAGAGTATTCGAGACATTCGTCCACAAATAGTTAAATGAAATTTTAGACCTCTATAAAGAGGCTTTGTATACCTTTAGGACGGGAAGATGATTATCGAAGAAAACTTTATCTGGACTGTAAAGAACGTGATTGAGAGTCACCGCTATCATACTATATCTCATAAATAAAACAGAAGAAGAATATTCTTAACTTGTTCTTAACTTAAGAACTTGTTAAGAATTCTTAACTTGTTTAACTAATCAGTAGGATTGACTCTGTTCAACGGAAGTTATGTAGTTTTCCTACAGTCTGGATGTTTCTGTTGCATCGTCAACACTTGCATTGGCAAATAGTATGGAATTTCCTGCCTCTGTGGTGATATTTTTCTGTCACTCATTACTTTACATTTAACATTTACCTAGACGTTATTGAATTGAATGTAGTCATCAGCTTTAAGGAATTACATGTATAATTTTTTTTAAAAATGCACTTTCGAATCAAGTAATTTATTAGCTTAAGATGCCATTGATTGCTTATTTCCAAAAATTCCGATTTTCTCTGTACTCCGTTTACAAATACCCCTTCCTTGAACTTTTTATCGGGAGATAGAGTAGACTTTTGAATTTCGGAGACGTTAAATAACTGGACTCCAACCTCGTTAACATCGCTATAAAACATAAAAATTAAATGATATGTGAAAATAACACAGTAATCAAAAAATATATTTTAACAAATAAATAGATGAAATAAATGACTGAATACTTGTAGATGTAAATAAAGTCAAATAAATAATAAATAAAATCAAAGTACTGAGATTACTGATAGGCGGAAGCATGTTTGCAGGTTCTCATGTGCAAAACTTTAATGACACATATTTGAAGCATAATCTTTTTTAAAGGGGGGGGGGGTGATAAAAATTTTGATGGATTGTAGTATTGAAACCAAGGAACAAGAATAAACAATATGTCTCGGTTTTGATGCGGATACATGAGAATAAGTCACGTCAATAGCAATATGAACAATTTAACATTTATTATACCCCCGCTTGAAAAGTGGGAGGGTATACTGTAATCGGTATGTCCGTCCGTACGTACGTCTAGCTGTCCGTTCGTCCGTCTGTTACGCTTTGGGGTACTCATATCTTATCCGCAATTCGTCTTATACCACTGAGTGAAATTTAATGAAACCTTCACAGAATCTTTATTACATATTGCCGCCATTGTGCACCTCCTCTTTTACTTTTTGATCCGACACATATTTTGGGTTTCCCGGCCACAGCAAAACATGGACTTTTCCATTATAATCATATGGGAGGCGGGAGTATCATTTAGTCAGTTCATTGCTCACAGTACCTTTTGTTTTTGTCAAGTTAACAAGTTAAATAAAATTGAAATGCAAGTTGAAATACATAAAATTTGTAAGATATGGTTTTGGGGAACAAGAAATGGAAAATTATAAAATTTCACACAAAAATGAGAACTAATGAGTAATAAAAACAATAAATATCACAACTGCTTTTGGGTTTTGTATGTGTACATGTATTAAGTTTTAGTACCAATGAAACAAAGTCTTGTTATAAAACTGCAAATTATATTAGGAATACAACATACATAGAAGACCTTACAAAGATTTACAATGTGCTTGTGGTTCTATGAATTGTTTCATTCAATACATGTATGGCCCAGGTAGAACAAATCACACAAGTCTCTAATGCTGATGACAGGTGAACACTGTGTCATGATGTCCACAATAAATGGAATATTTTTTCAGGAGAGCTTCTACCATGGCAGGCTCTTGAATGCCAGACAGTTTTATTTTTATTCCTGTGGTAAATTTGTCTTTGATGATTGTATTAAAATATTGGTACATAAATCCCAATATCAGTGGTGATTTCTTTTCTGGAGATTATCTACATGATTCCCTTCACAACTGTCTCTTGGCAGAATTTTCTACAAAGTGTATAATTGAAAAAAAAGATTTAAGAATATCTCACAATGTTTATTTAACAAAAATTATTTCACATTATGTATCTGACTTTCAATAAATGAAATCAAGGACTTCAAATAACCTTTTATGATATACCGGTTACTTTAATATATTTTCTAGGGAAGTCAACTTTACCGGGTACTCGATCTAAGATCCAAGTATCGAATACTAAAAAAAGTTACTCGTTTACTCGGATGTATATTATTTCTTTTTACAAGGTACACATTTTTATCAGAAACTTATCAATTATAACTAAAACATGTAAATGGTAATTACCATGTCTTCATCTACACCTAGCTGTAAAACACCCGTTATCGCCTTGATCTACATTCATTCATTCAGTGAAATCTGACATGCAAAGAAATTAATACCACTATACCCACTTCAAGAGTGAAGTGGGTATATAGAAATAACAAAAGATTCAGAACTGCGGAAAGTGAACTTGTGTAGTAAGTTTAGTATAAATATACTGGAAACAACCAACTAATGAAATAATATAAGACTAGCGATCCTGACCAACAACATCTGTCCCCTCTCTTTCGCTAGTTATATAACCTACATGTACATGTGTACACAGCAGTTTTTCAAATAGATCCAATTAAAACAACCTTTTGTAATTTTGGGTGTATTGTGCATTTGTGTTTTATTTGATAACTAATTTTAGTACCAAAAATTATTTCCAATGGAATTCATAATTATCTGTACATGTAATGAAAAAGTCAGATATCGAGTAAGCGATTATTAAACATGATAAATATTGACTGATTTGACTTCTCTAATATTTTTTTGTATTTGTTTTCGCTTTCAAAAGCCTGCTATTATAAGTAATCATGTATTTGCATGTATTCAAAAAAAAAAAAATGAAAAGAAAATTAGTCAACAAAAATTAGAAAAGTCAAAATATACTTTCAAAAAAAGTATTCGGTTCAGTTTTGCCATCATAACAAGATGATTTGTTATGCTATAAAAAATATGTATCATAAGTTATGAAAATTTTTTC